GAGGAATGAGCTGTCAATTTTACAAATTTTTTTTTGAATTTTATATCATTTTCATTTTTTACAATCTTTTTAATTTAATTTAAGAGAATGGTCTTTTTTTTAGTTTTAATCATGTACAACCCGTTCTATGATTTGATAACGTGAAACTGTCGGTGAACGGCATGGGTGGTGTGGTGTTGCCGTGGGGTCCACCGGGGGAGGGGTGTTTCTGGAAGTTTGTTTTGTTTTAAGTAAAAAAGCGCGTTGTGTAGATGTTTCCGGAGCCTTCACCGTTTGTCTTATTTATTTATTTATTTTATTTGTTTATTTGTTTATTTCTTTTCTCGTTTGCGGCGAATTGTGGGTTCGCGTCTGGGGGAAATCAAGTCATATTAAAATAATATAATGAAATAAATATGGCGTTTGTTGGACCGAAAATAATTTTCATTAAAATATGTTTTTTTAAAAAATATTTAAAGCATTTTTTTTTTTTTATTTTGATGTGTCTTTTTAGATAATAACTTATAGGGAAGATTCAAATTCACAAGATCGATAAAAGTTAGGGGAGTGGATAAGTTAATTTCTGTCGATGTATATTTGCTGGGTTGTCCACCAAAACTCAGTGTTTCGGTTTGATATTTTAGGAATATTACATAACAAAGGTTAAAAGAGAATAAATTAAAACGTGTGATCCAAAAAATAAGGCGTTGGTATTTTGGTTTCAATCGAATTGAACTATTATGTTGGCAATGCATAAATCATGTTTCCAACATTCAATTTATTTTTGGATCAAAATTATATGATAAAATGAAATTAAGAATCTGATTGGTAATATTTTTATTTATTTGTTTCTTTGTTTTTGGAAAGCACGAGTTTGATAACTGTTTTTCTTTCTCATTTTTACAAAATTGTGTAAAAACTTTTGAAACAGCAAAATTAAGTTTCTAGTTCCTAGTTTCTTTTCAAAAAATAAAAAATAAATTATTTTATTATTCTTAACTCATAGAATGCCTAACAAATATTAAGAAAATAAAATATAACATAAACAATTTAAATTTTGATTAAAAAATTAATTTTCATATAAATTCAATTTTTTTTAATTTAAAATTTTAGAGAGTGAAAATTAAAAATGGTTAATCAAACCATGTTTTTTTTTTTCAATAAGAAATAAACAAGAAAACATAAGAAAACAGTCCTAATAATCCAATTGAA